ATCATTCTTATAGTGTTTTGACAATTTGACAAATCATAAAATGATGAGTCTAAATCCATGAGTGAATCGGTGCGACATGTACGTATTTTTCAAATTGTAGAGTTATAACTACCCCGCCACATTAGAAATGTCTGAATTGACCAAACTGTAAATCTAGCATTTCTTGTTTATATTTATCTAAACCTTATGTATATTTATAATAATAAACTCCTGAATTTAGCCCATTGCCGATGTAGTCAGCCTTTACTCCAATCCTAGTTTTAGTACAAAATCCAGAAAATATATAAAAAAAACTTAATAACGGCGAGTCGAATAAAATATAGTAATAAAAACAAAAAATAACATTAAATAAAATATGGAAAGTAGAGCTTCTATACTTAATCGGATTTTAATCAGACATTGGTTTCCCTCGTAACTTTATTCCGGTTGATATATAGCGCCCTCAATTGTTGTAGTACTTGATTGATTGACTCCCAAAATTCATTGCGCGACACCGGTCGCCATTTTGTATGTTGCAGATAATAACATCGCAGCTAAGAATGGAAATTAATAATTGAAAATCTATACTAATTAAGGTAATTTTTCCAGCGGGGCCTGTTCTCCAGTATGTCATATTAGTATACCACCGAAAACAGTGTTTTTCAATGTTATATACGGTTGTAATATTGGTATATTTTACGATGAGAATGATGCAATTTGTCACGATGATCTATGTATTTTGTCTGGAGACGTTTTACATGCCTGAATGTTTTTTTTTCAACTTAGGAATTATGCGAATAGAAATTTTACAATTAGTACAGCATGAGCGCTTCCACCCATAGACCAGTGCTTCGAACTCAACTACGGCTAGATTCCAAGTGGCTAAAAACTGATTTACAGGTATGTGTCAATGTGCCAGATCACGGTGATCAGCTGTTGTGTCATTGATTGTCATGATTTGTTTGGGGCTCGTGTTCGCCAAGTCTAGCGTCGTGTTTGACATGAGCATGACTCTTGATTCTGTTGCCGGATGTAATAAGGTATTCCTAACAATAAACCAACTCTTAAGAAGTCTAAAGTCCTACGATGAGAACTATCTCTGACACTGACTGGGTTAGACGACATGGTGAATACCAAATGACGGTACGGCAAAGTTAATATGTTAACGAGTTTTAAATACAGGGGAGCTAGTGGGCCCTTTGGGAAGTTAGTGATTTAAAGGTCAAATCTGCATATTTCAATTGTGACCAATCGTATGGACTATGCTGCCCTATTAGCATAAATAAATAAACTATCCGTTTGCCGGCAATTTTTAATTTAGTACTCAGTTCGCATTGCCAAGCCAGCCACAGACGTCGTGTTTTTCTCTGCTTGCGTTTTT